AAACGAAAGTGGTCTTAGTCCATCGGAAGCAAAGACCGCCGAACGTCCGCGCGTTAGGTTAATTGGTGAACGCACGCTGGCTGCACGGCAGGACACAAGCTCTGCATACAGGCTCTATAGCTTAGAGCGTGTGAGAGAGACAGGGAGAGAGAGAGAGAGAGAGAGAGAGAGAGAGAGAGAGAGAGAGAGAGAGAGAGAGAGAGAGAGAAAGAGAGAGAGAGAGAGCGAAAGAAAGAGAGAGAGACTCACTCTTTCTTTCTCTCACTCGTTCGCTTTCTACTACCACTATCTCCCCAAAATAGTATCTACTATGTACCCATCTCGTTATGAAGAAGATTCATTCACTATCTTCTAATGGTTTCACGCGCGCAGCCACGTAGCAAATCTATTAAGCTTTCCATAACGAGTTAATCTCACATCTGAAGTCACTGTCTCCGAGCCTGCGTCCGATCACGTGATAGCCACGTGTCGTTTGTTCGATGGTTCATCCATTATTTCGCGCCTGAGCGTTTAATGTAATCGCGCAATGCATTAAGCGAAATGAAGCTTTGATTTCATTAGTAACCAAATCTAATCAGGAACTTAATTATCACCCGGCACTTTCGCAAAATTTTCGTTATGCGCGTGTACACATTATGCTTCGCTGATCCATTTAAATAATTAGGTCTGAGGTCTACAATCAATTTGTAATGACCAGGCACGTTTTTTGTCAGTTGGCAAAAACTGAGCCGCGAAAAAATACGAATCTTCATGCATGCACGGAAAAAACAATTCGCGGCGTCGGCATTTAAAAAACGGAATGTGATGATGTATGATTAATCATGTAAGAGGTGGCAGCGTGAGTGGATGAGTGATCGGCGTGAATGAACGCCCGTGCGAAACAGGAAGCTAGCGATCTTTTTTTTATTATATTTTTCCATTCGGCAACATAACAATCCTCGTACGCTGGTTGATACACCTATAGTATGACGTCGACTCGATTTAATAACGTTGATCCAATCAGTTCCGAGAATCTAAGCACGTGGACAAACAAATATTCGACGCCGGTCCACGACAGTTACGGGCCGTTTTGACTATGTGTGTTTTACTAATATGGTATGTTGTATATTTGCACGTACCGCGTACCCCGCTATTCCGCACTCTCGTGGCGTGATAAACCTTAACTAAAACAGTGTTCCCCAGCGATGAGTGAGAGAGTGAGAGAGCAGACGGCGTACGTGGGAGCCGAGATGATAATAGTGGTGCCTTCGTCTTTCTCCGTCATTCTCCGGCTTAGCTACGCGTCGACGCGCACGCGCGGCAGTGGTGGTCCGCTCTCTCGCAGGCGAACAGCCGAGTCCGTACGCTCAGAGACTCGGAGCAGTATCGCTGTCAGATACGGTGCTTGTTGCGTTGTCATAGATACGGTGGATGCTTCGTTGCAAAGATACGGTGCTCGTGACTCTGTAAAGATACGGCAGGTGTGACTCTGTAAAGATACGGCAGGTGTGACTCTGTAAAGATACGGCAGGTGTGACTCTGTAAAGACACGGTGCGTGTGTCGCTGTGAATATATTGTGCTCGTGACTGCGCGCGTGAATATACGGGGGGTGTGTGACGCTCGCTTCGCAGGTACGGTCGGTGTGTGACTCTTCACCGATGCCGTGGTTGTTATTTTGTAAAACAAAAACCATTTGGTTCTAAAGATACGTTGGTCGTGTCGCTGTGAAAGCGCGGTGGCCATGAAAATGCGATGGCCGAGAAACAGTAATAGCTTATTAGATATAGCAGTGGTTGCATGTGACGTTGTGATATATATTGTGATTTGACGCTGTGAGAGATACGGTGGTGGTGACGTCACCACGGATGCGGGGATTCTACGTGTGTCACTATATGAAATATGATGATTGTAACAATGCGAATTATCACGTGATAATCTCTACACCATCAGTTGGCATTCATAGACGGGTTTGCCTGCGCGCACACACGCCGCATTTAAGGTAAGATAACTGCTGTAATCGGTGCCAATTCTAAGTGAAGGAAGCGAGCTGTAAATAGGTTTCGGAACATTTCTGCAGGCAGTAAAGTTTCTGCTGTGACTGCCAATAGATGTACGGGCGTGTCTATACGTCACCGATGTGCTGTGGCGCGAAACTATTTACTGGTAGAGCGAAGAACAGAGACCCATTACATCTACTTATTAGCAGCAACGCGTCAGTAAGTGTGTTTATTTATAACTATTAGTTTCCTCCAAATAAACGTGGCATAAACAGCGGCAATAAACAGTTGCATGTCCTTCGGCGCTGCGTTCGTGCGTGATATGCTATACTGAAATCTGTTAACTGAGCGTGAGTATCGGCTGCTATGCTTGCCCCGTGCGATAGCCGCTGATCCCCGCGGCAGACCTCCGTCTATGATATCTGTCTCACACACACACCCTCTCTTCTCTCTCTCTCTCTCTCTCTCTCTCTCTCTCTCTCTCTCTCTCTCTCTTAATACATAGCTGAATCATGGTTTACCAGATAGCAGACCAAACATATGTGACGAATCTGTGATATTAAGAGTGATTCACCGCCCATCCTCCTGTATTAAAAGCACTCACACATGCTGCACGTAATTATGCACTTTGATTCCATGTGGATATTATTGAAAACGTATGTAGTAATTGGCGGAGGTTATAGCGCCATCGCTGGCAGTGTGGTTAGTGTAGGAGTTTACTTGTTTCTAAGGAATCATGTTTGAGGAATCACGTTACTGTGCGTGGAAATGTTTTGTGGTAATTTTTAGTCAATGTTGCGTGTAATTTTGTTGAGTTGTTGCTTAATAGAGTAAAACAGATTAGTAGTTGCAAATAAATACGTTTGATTATGAATGCAGTATAGTTTTTAAAATAATTGTTTTGTTCCCAGTGATAAAATATAATGATGTAAACTTGTATGAAGTTGGCATCTTTTGTGTATATTTATCGCCATTTCTTCACCCTTATGTCTCTCTCTCTCTTGCCCTTACTCTCTCCCCTTCCTTTATATTGCAATCAGATTCACCACAATGAACCTCATACTCTCAATGCTAGCAAACAAAGGTAATGATATAATACAAGTAAATGTAATTAAAATATCAGCCGACAGAGGACACCACTGACACGTTTCTATTTGCCGTCCCGAACCATGCAAGTCGTGCATTAGCGGCAACTAATTATAATCGGCGCATGTTTGCAATCATCGGGAGGGGTGCTGAGTTGTAGACACGCATGGCCCCCCTCGCTCCTAATTACGGAGCATCCGCTTTCATCTTTCACGTGTTTTGCGGCACGGAAGCCCGCGAGATGTGCTCAACATCGACGAATCTCACGCTGCTTCCCTGCCGCGCGCTGCATCTGCTGCGTGTTCAGTTTAGTCGCTGTTAGTTTAAGATTATTAAAGACATTCCCCTATTAATTCTGCGTTGCGTATCCGGTGTCGCTGTGAGATGCTGCTGCTGCGGCGGCGGCTAGAGATCCGTGTGAAGTCTCAAAGTGTTGCTCGGCATGTGCGCGCTGAGGAATAGAAGGGCATTCACACATCGCGCAAGAGTCTCTCGCCCGCCCGCCCCGCACACACACCGCTCGTCTTCTACGCTGAGGTGCGGGGATGCGGCGCACCTGTCGCGTCCCTAGCAACGCTTCCCCCATGCCGTACGTAATAGCGTTGTCGCGTCCGCATACACGAATGCCTACACAGTCACGCGCTGCACCGATGCAGGTGCCGGTGTTTGGCTTACGTACCACTCGTAAACCCACGTCAGCGTGCGACTTTAACCCTTTCCCACATGCGGCAGCTGTCGTTGCTTTAGTTGTGCAGCGGCTGTTGATGCGTGTGATGCTTGCAGCGGCCACGGCAAAATAATCCATGGCGAAGTCCGCTGTGTTGGCCCTACTCTGTTTTCATTAGCTAACGAAGTTTATACAAACGCACGTGGTGTTTGTATTTGACTAATCACGTCGTAGGTTTGTGCTGCGAGCTCCCAACGCGTGGCTAATCTACGCTATTTAACATTTGATCACGTCGCAGCTTACGCCAATATTTTCCGGCGAGTTTCGCTGCTTGTGTAAGCTCGCGCGCCACGGCTATAACGTAAGTGCAGAGAACCACTGTTTTTGTCGTCTGCTGCTGCGTGCCTGTTTCCCCTTCAAGCTTTCTATCCGCAACCCAATCTCGTGAAAACAGCCTTAAACGCGGCTATTTGTGCAAGTGCAATACCCGTTGTTGACGGACGCATAGGTTTCGATTAGCTCTTTATACATATATTCGCTGAATATTTCTTGAGGAACACCCGCACGCTATAGCGCCGCCAGCCGTAGCAAAGCTATAGCGGTGATATCGATATGCGTACGATCCTGATCAAGAATGCATGAAAACAAATTAATGTGTTTTTATTCTCATCCGGTACGATGCATGCTCAAGTATGTATCATGTACAGTCCCGTAATTTTAACAAGGTATAAATAACCTGCCGTCAACAAGTGAACGCTTTACATTTAAGGTATTATGTTCTTCACTCTTTCCATTTCCTGTCACGTGACCTTTTAATTACGGAACTTTTATCTCCGTGCATGTGATTCTGGCAAGAATTTCGGATTCATACTATACATGCTCCTGGCGATGCTGCTCTTTCCCCCTATTTTTACGTTATTCTGTTGTTTCCTGCTTCCACTTCCTGCCACGTGGTTATTCCAATGTCTCTAAAAGCAAGCGCCGTAGGCGCGCTGCATGCTAGGGGGGTCTGGGGGCATGCCCCCCCTGAAAATCTTTGAATGGTAGACATCTGGAGATCTGGTGAGTCTTGCGAGAGAGATTTAGGAACAAAATGTAGGAACAAAATTGTCTAACCCAAAATTTACTGGAAGCACTGTGCTTCCAGTGCTTCTATCTGCGGGCGCCACTGTGTATATATATATACCTAATGGCAATTATGTAATCTGACCTTAATTTGAATCTATGGTTTGTTTTTCTATGTATTTATGTGCTTGAATTTTGTATTAATCTGGTCACCCTCTATTTTGCTAACAGGCTGGTAATGCAGAGAGACTGAAGCAATGGCTGACAGTGCTGGAATATGTCGAGGTCTTTTTGGAGATGTCGTTTGAACGCTTGGGTGGTGCTGCGGCCAAGTGGTTTATCGTTGTGGTGGTGCAACTAGCAAAGTAAATTACTACAGATAGTCACATGATACACTGATTTAATGATTAAAAAATTATAGCAAGCGAAAGTCATGAATAGTTAAACCATTTGAGGATTGTCCTTCATTAACTTTATGGTTTAAATTACCGAGTATTTAAACCAAGTTATATTCACACTTTATTTGTGCCTAGGAAAATGTTATCAGTTTTGAATTTTTTAAATTGGGTTATCAGTTACATGAAATTCCCATTCGAACATCTACCGGCTCTCCACAAAATATTCTATTGTCGTTAAGTATTGTATAATTATGTAATATGATACGTGTGGCCGTCATTCTTGCAGAGCAACCTTGCGTTTCCTGCTACTACTCCACTATAAGTCTGCGGTCCAGCCGAGCCCCCCATTTCCCCCCGTCGACCGGCTGAAGCTGGTAGAGGGTGCCAGGGATCAGAGTGGCAGCACGCCTGCCGCCGCGGAGTCTGTGGTTGAGCTGAAAAGCTCTGGTCGTCTGATGAGAAGCTTGGCTTCATGTGAGTTTGTATCGGAGCAGGTGTTTGTCACAGACATGTATGAGTAGTAAGGTAGATGTCGGGCCACACTTGTCATCAGCAGTGGCAGCACAAGTAGGAGTCATGGTAGCAGTTGAGGAGTAGAGAAATGCATTGTAACTCTATGGTATATGTTGCTCATGGGTGCCTATCCAGAGAGATGTTTTTCCCAGACAACTGCATGGAATGTGTTTTCATTTTAGCTCCACCTATCAACTACAGAGAGTGGCGTGTTCCCAAACGCACGAGGGTTGCATCATCAATGACGGAGCATGCACATCTCTCATCACAGACGATTGCAGGAGAAAGTCTTCACATAATGAGACCACTAACTCACCGTATCCTTGCAGTAAAAATCTTCTCTGCTTACACGTTTCCTTTGTATTACTTTCAAAACTTTGACGTTATATTTTCCATTCCATTTCCATTCGCCAAGTCCTCTAACTCCTCTGATAAAGGTGGTATAGATTATGAAAGATTGATGACAATGTTTAACGATAAGATCTGGTTCCAAATAACTTCAATGGCTGGCAGCGAAACTTACCTAAGTCAGTCTAAGATGTGTGAGTGGATTTAGCATTTCCTTAGCATGTTCTCTGGCAGTGACAAGCATGTACTTGTTTGGGAGGAGTTCATGGAAGCCGTGGATGCTGGCAGGGTTGATGGATGTGCTGAGGTTAGCATTCACTAATGGATCGACAGTGTCAAAGTATAGCCTTGTTGCCACAGAATTTCTTATTGTCTTGCTGATATTACCCAGGTGTTTCTAAGCCTGGCTGATCTGTGTTGAACTAACAACTTCTTGCGAGGTTAGATTGCATCTGTAGTTTTCTAAATGCTACTCGGGTAACAAGCACTGTGTGGTAGCGCCATCTGTCAACATAATAAGTGAAAAGAATGTAAAAAATAACAGTAAATACAATGTCGCAGTAATCATCAGTGTTGGTGTCAGTCTCTGCCATGTCACAGTGCCGTGTGACGATTCTCGGTTCTTTTCTGTTATCGTAGCCTCTTGGTTCTTCACCGGGAAGGAGAGAGGGCCCAACACCAGCAGACAGAGCTGAACAGGCGACAACTACTGCTGCTCTCCTACCTCCTGCGCTCACCATTCTATGACCACTTCACCAGGTACTTGCACTAGCAACGTTAGGTGTGCAATTTGGTCATGGGGGTGGGGGGGTCGATGGTGGTATGGTGGTTGTTGCACTTCCCGGGTTTTCATCTAGTATCCACTCACTCGCTGCTCTGTGCTATGTGTTTCCTTTTTTTTGTTTTTTATCCATCCTGTTATTATTATTAATGATTATTCTGAAGCTACTGGGACTGTTGAGTCTATACGACTGCTGACTGTATATGTATTGTGTTCTGCAAATTTATTTAATGGAGGCACCATTTTTTTTTGATGGAAAGAATAGCGCTGAAAGGCATATATGCATAAAGCTAATTTGCTAAGTCTGTGATTTTTGCCGTTGCAGAGACAGAGTAGTGGATCTGTTGGAGTCACTCTCAGGTGTCCCACTCATTTCTCTTTTAGCTGGTAAGTTGCTGTCTGGAAATTTTTTAACCAAGTTATATATATATAAGATTAAGATGGACTGTCTAATGCGATGCGAGTCAGTGACATGTGGCACTAATGCTACTGTGCGTACGATGACTGACGGGTCCGTGTGTACTTCAGGCTCTTTGGTGCAACCGGATACTGTTCCGCCTGCGCAAAGATGATACCTGCGTTCGAGATGGTAATGCGAGCCGGCGGCAATGTTTATCACCTGGAATGTTTCGCCTGCCAGCAGTGTAAACACAGGTAAGTAGCAATTAAGCGCAGGTGAGCTGTAAACACAAGTAAGTAGCAAGTACAGGTAAGCTGCAATCACAGATAAGTTACAATCCCAGACGTACTGCAAATAGCAAGTAGAGAATCATATGTTGCTCTCGCGCGTAATGCCAACTAAGTCACCTACATTTACAATGATTGCCGAGTGCTCACAAGCAAAGCTACGCGTACAACAAAAGTGCCAAGGTGTCATTCGGTCTGTCAGTATATACTCATCATTACCAAATATTCCCCAAACATATAACTGTGGTAGGATCCTTAGTAAATACATACATTCGCATGACATTGCTTCCGACTAGCTATAGGTTTTGAATGAGGTGGAGATTAGGCTTAAAGGCTCACAATGCGCATCCAAACGCTAATTTCCCCTACTAGACTAGCAAATACTTAATAAGCTACTAATTAATGTATTAAAATTAGATGCGCGAAGCTGCTGCATTTAGAATAATTGACGGCTCTACATTTTATTATAATATTATTATTATGAGCAGCGACTACTAAATGAACGGATTATACCTCTTATATTATTAGGACTTAATTAATCCTATATTTAATTATTACACATGTGAGCTTTAGAGAGCACGCCTAGCCATCTTTGGGCCATGGTCTGTACTCACAATACAAGATTAACGAACACTGCACGATATTCAGCAGGGACAAATATATAATTTTGCACTAATCGTTACGAGAAGTAAACGTACATGAAGATAATGAGAACGTGGCTGTATAGTACGACTAAGCTTGGATGTAGAGTGTATGTACTGTGTGTGACATGCTACTGTATATTATATATATATATATATATATATATATATATATACATACATACATATACTGTATATACACTATAATGCACTATTCTGTACCGTGATTGCATGCAATCTATATAGTGCCCACCGTTGTCCTTGTAGGTTTTGTGTCGGTGACCGTTTCTACCTGCGTGACAATCAGATATTGTGTGAGTGCGACTACGAGGAGTGTGTCCTGTTCTCCAACGTACCCGTATGTTCGTACGCACCCACTCACGCCAAACCTACCGCACGCTACCCGCCGCCGCACCGCGGCGCTGGCATCGAGGACGCAGCGTCGAGTGGATACGGAAGCCCTGATTCATTGTAGCCGCGAGGAGCAGCCGTGCGCATGCGCGCGTGGATAGGACACGGTGGCGCCGTGCGGCGGTGGCACGCGCGTGCATGAGTGACATTGTAGGTCCGGAAGGGAAAAGAGATACCTGAGATAGGAGCGGTCAGTATCGAACTATATACGTAACGTTCATGTTTTCGTGGATCCGCCGCCATCCTGCACGTCTCCTGAGATGCGATATGGGTGACAAGACATTCAAACTAGTGACTCCTTCTCCTGAGAAGGGAGGTAACTGACCAGACGGTCTGTTTCTTGCCGTTCCTCTGAGATGGAAGATTGATGACAAGACAGCAAACTTTTCTCCATAAGAAGCAACAGCTGAGTGTGCAAGCTTGTGAACGTGTAAAATTGTTGTATAGAATAAAGTTGTAATGCCATAGCACGGGAACGTCTGTCGATTATATGGCAACATCGGTATAACTAGTATGCTATTATATGCTATAAAGTGTATTTGATTTTAAAATAAATTTATCAATAAAAGACGTTGTCGAGGGTTTGCAATAAGACAAACTGCATTATTCTGCCTAGTAAGATCTTGAGGGAATGCAAGGAGAATAAAGAAAGATAATACCATAGTGGTAAAATAAATAACCAAATAAACGTAAAATGAACAGACGTTATGTCGCTGACACTGCGCACTGATATATTAATGTATAGACAGTGGCGTAGCCAGGATTTTAGAAAGGGGAGGGAGAAAAACAGCGAACGGCGCAAAATAGTGGATGACTATTTTATGGTTTAATACTTGTGGATCACTATATTTTAATGGTTCGTTCGCCTCCCTCTCCACACGTTACGCTCCCCCACCTGTCAGCTCTGCAATCTTTGTTTTGGGGGCCATGCAAAAAAGACGACATTTTTGTTCGTTGTTCTCTGCTCCCAAGATATATAACTGTTCAGTGGCAGAACCAGGATTCCAAGGAGGGGGTGAAAAACAGAGGTGGGGTATGGGGGTCCTCCGCCAGAAAATTTTGAAAATGTAGATCGCAGGAGATGGTATTTGAGGCACTTTTGAGTAGATGTACAGCCTTCATTCTGACTACGACAATTCTCTTTTTAGTAGAACAACTCTTTTTTTCACTTTCGAATCAACAGGGGGGTCATGGCCCCCTTTGGCCCCCTTAACTACGCCACTGTGTATAGATGGAGGCCTTGCAACAGTAAAAACACCGCAATTAACCGGAAACCACTAAACAAATATTCAAGCGTAAAACGTTGTCTAAACATCATATGCCGACACAATAATAGATTTTTGTCTATAATTAGATGATATCTATATCATTTTTACGTGCGTATAATATATGCTACAGTACGCGACAAGCTGTATTATCCCCTGTATTACTTGCTAATATGCTAGTCGAAGTTTAATAAAATATGCGGCAAGGAAGGGTCGAGTGGTATCGCAGCGCCATCTGATGTTGGTTAATACCAATATATAAGCAGCCCAGTTCCAACTAAGCGCACGTCTTGCATTTTAATCGGATGATAATAGCGCCTCGACGAATTCTGAGAACGCAATAGCAGCAGCGGGGGTTTAATACCATTCATGGGAGTGTTAGGATAGAATTCTACTTATCCGTCGTTCTAAGAGGTGTCATTCACCGAATCTACCTACACACACGTAGCGACGGCCTCAGTACCTTTAGCAGCGGCCGTCTTGATGGGTCTTCAGATGGGAGCGTCTCCTGTGTATCGAATATCCAAGGGCGCGGCGATGGTTATCTTAAAGTCAAAGTTGTTTGAATCATTTCTAGTGAATGCAAAACGCTAGATAAACACGGAATGTTTATTATTGTTTATTGACGTGTAAAGGCGCATCACGTAATAGCGCTTGTATTGTACAGCTAAGAAATATTGCACACTTGGTGTGTAATTTTGGAGATACCTGCAGACTCGTGATGTAAGTACCACAAGTAACATTAAGTACAAGTAAACTTAAATAGTCAAGTATTAAAACTATATTAAACTTTATAGATAACCCGTTCACGTTCAAGTCTATAACAAAAATGCCAGGAAGACAGACAGACGGACAGAAGGACGGACGGACGAACGGACGGATGGACGAACGGACGGACGGACGGATGAACGGACGAACAGACGGACGGGCGGACAGACGAACGGACGGACGGACGAACGGACGGACGGGCGGACGGACGAACGGACGGACGGGCGGACGGACCGACTTCTCTCTCACCCACCCCATCACTCCATCACTAATTGACCCACACTTATCACACACAGCCTTCCCTCTGTCTCACGTATCCAGTCAGAGTGCTGCCAGTTTTAACCGAGTCGAACCCGCCCCGGCGTGTTTGTAATGTATGCGTAACATAATGCTGCCGACGTACACGTGAAGCGAACGAGTATTATTCATTACGACCCCGTTAATGCGCGTCTATGTAAGGCGTCAGTGCGTGATCGATGTGTGGGTCTTGCACAAATACAGCTGAGTGCACGCGCAGTTTGTATAGCGATCGCACCTTCTTCCTACCCCTTCCCACACACCTAATAACTCTACACGCGCGTGCACGTATATGCACGCACACAGGCCAGGCTATAGACGGCGTTAGAAGGTATGACTCCACGCACGCTTCACCCGCGCATTTCAGGTGACAGAGTAGATGTATAGGTGGGGCGAGTATGCGCGCGCACATGCCGGTCTCCAACGTCGGCAGGCCTCCCCGACACGTTAGTAAATCTTTTCAAATTTACGACTAAAACAAGAATCGCGCCCGCACCGACCCCCGCTAGACGTTCGTATACATTTCCGCTCGTAGTCTGCACGCATGACGTCATCAAAAACATTCGCGCCGGCGGGTGTTCCTTAGGTGCCGCGCACGTCAACAAATCCGACCATTGAAGCGCGGAGATGGCGAGAGATAGCACAGCTGCACTCGCGCCCCAGCATGAGGAGGAGGATGAGGATGAAGAGGAGGAGAAGAAGGAGGAGGAGGAGGAGGCATGTGTGAGCAGGTGGTGGGAATGGGGGGAGAAAGGGGCGAGGTGTGGCTGCCAGCTAGCACAGGTAAGATCAGGAGAAGGTGATCTGCGATAGAGTCACTGCATCGTGAAGAGAACATTAAGAACTGCGTGGTTAGGTCACGGGCGGGAATAATCCGAGAATTCCCCGAGTGAGTGAGAGTGGGGGGAAAGAGAGTGAAACAGGGCGACACACACACACAGACAGACAGACACACACACACACACACACACACACACACACACACACACACACACACACAGAGAGGGGGAGAGAGAGAGAGAAAGAGAGAGAAAGAGACAGAGAGCGAGAGAGAGAGAGAGAGAGAGAGAAAATGAGAGAGAAGGGGAGAGAGAGAGAGAGAGAACGAAACACACCGAGAGAAAGATAGCTATGAGAGAACTCTATCGCAGCGACACAGGTGGCGATGAACGGGTGGTTTCCTGTATAGTTGGTGATATACCTGCCTGTCACTGTTGCATGGACAACGACTGAATTGTTCCTGGTTAGGGTTGGGGTTAGGGTTAGGGTTAGGGTTAGGGAGTAGGCGTAGGCGACTCCCTAGACTCGTTAGTGGAGTAGGCGAGGTACGGTCCGGCATATTAGATAGTATACCAGGGTACGTTCTGGTATACCGGACCGTACCCAGGGTACGTTCCGGCAGTACCCCGGGGGACATATAGACCCTCTCAGCGTTAGCATCTGGTCGAACCTGAGGCATTCTCCCTCCGCCTCCTGTCTTTACGACAACAGTCACAAACAGCCATGAGCGGTGAGCATGCATCGCCCACGCTCTGCTCCTCGCACTAGTGCGCTGCTGTCCGCCTCATATATATATATACCTGTGTTGTCGGGTTGTGTACGGTTGTGAGCAGGCTCTATATAAGGTAAGGTGAGGAGACGTGAGTTGCTGGTATAACGGGGTGCGCTGATAGACAGGAGCAAGGTGAACAACCCGCGCATATCGCATACATGACGAGAGTACGCGTGAGTAGCACGGGAGTGGTCGTAGTCGCCGCAACCTGACGTGATAAACTGATCTACTGAGATCAGGAGTAAGATAATATAGGATCCTATATTAGGATCCTAGGATATAGGATCCTATATTATCTTACTCCTGCTGAGATGATAACGCGGATTTATTCTTTCGCGCGTCTCTGGATCACGCGGTTTTCACGTCAACTGCCGCGTCATCGTTGTTTCGTCTGTCGCATGACGGCGGGGGTAATCCACGGCCGGTGGCTGACGTATTAGTTACGGTCTGTGCGCGTCACGTTGCTCTTACGTTTAAGGTATGCGCGGTAACCCTTAGTTACGCGAAGCAAGCGCTGCGAGAATGCTGCGAAACACGCGAGAGAAAGTTTTGCCCCACATACTCGGTCCACCATGTGCGCAACGGTAAAACCAGGGCAGGAGACGCAGCATGTGTATCGGTAGGCTGTAAAACTGTAACGTAATCTATGTTGATTTATTCTTCGCGTGTGAGCATTTATGGGCGAGTATAGACGCTCGTTACTAGTTAGTGGTTATATGTCTCGCAACAAATATCCACCGGCAATGAACGCGACTTTTCGTTTTATTTTCTTGTTTTTATGTCTTTTCCTCGTCTTTTTTCGTTTGACTGTCGTTATTCCCTTCGTACTAACGTTACCATCTCTCGTTACGTTCTTTTATATAACTACTTTTTTACAGCTACGAATATATATACGTCGGAATCTGTGAACCTCTTCCAGATTTTGGTGGAAGTTCTAGAGGTTTACTATATATACGTAACTTTACGGCTGGGCTTAATAGATATCGTGACGTGCAATCTTGCGAGTTTATTTCATTCATTATTTCATTTTTATTCCTCCGTATTATCATAGTATTATGTTATCATACGTATTCATTACTCGTCGATGTAGGTTAATTTGATAAATTCCCAGATAAACCGCAAAATGGGAGAACGCACATTCGCACATCGGTGGTTTCCATGGACACGTGACGCGCACGTTAGCCTGCTGTTGCTATGCTTACTGCAAGCGAAGAACCTTCTCACAGGTGACGTCACTTCAAAATCGATGTACAAGTGCTTCATTTGAAGGATGCGCAGAGCAGATAAATTCCACTGAGTTTCAGCGCATCTTGAATCATGTTTTAGTTTTATTGTCTGCGTTTCATAGAACTGCACTTCTTAAAGTAACTGCGCACGGTAGAATCACTATCACGCAATTCCGCTGCGAGTAGTGTCGTACCACCAGGTGGCGCTCTATGCACGTTGAACGTCTATGTGCATTTCTAGCTTCAGCGACATGTTCCATACCAGCCGTTATTGAACACGGATCAGTCTCATCAGCGAACAACGTGCACACAGAGGGCAGCACCGCCGCAGTAACATGTGAGCATGGCTTCACAGCAACGACCCACGTGATCACGTGCAGGTTTGTCACCATTCGTCCCCCAAAGCTCTGATTTCACAACTAGCACGGAATCACAAGCACGCGTAGCACACGTTTCACAATCACGTTTTATTATTCACTCCTGATAGTATGTAATGTAGTATTATAATATCAGGAGTTAATAAAGACAAATATAATTTGTCTTTATTAACTTGTAATAATTTGTCTTTATAACTCAGACTTATAACTTAGACAAGAGACTGCAGACAGACAACAACTTACACTTACACAGACACAACACAGACACAACACACACAGACACAACAACACACACAGACAACAAACACACAGACAACACACAGACACAACACACTTACACAGACACACACAGACAACAAACACACAGACAACACACAGACACAACACACTTACACAGACACACACAACAACTTACACAGACAACAACTTAGACAGACAACAGACAGACAATAACTTACAACTCTTATGTAATGTAGTAATGTAGTATGTATATAGTAGTATATACAATGCACGGATTACTTTCTAACAGGCTCGGCACATGGGAGCCCGCAGATTTTGCGTGTGTTGTCGACTGTACGGTCCCACCTATAGTCGCTCACGCAGCGTTCACTTGGTTTCTCCACGTGACGGAGGAGGACGCCCAGCCGCCGGTAGATGGCGCTGCGATGCCGGAGGGGATCTCGCGTGTCGACACGCTACTGCAGGGAGCGTACACGTGCGACGCGGGGTACGGCCGCATCGCCGGCAGCGCGCTCGTACGGTGCGACAAGGACAGCGGCTGGACGGCCAGCGACGTTCTAGTCTGCGGTCCTCTGTGCGAACCACTTCCTAACATCACCGACGGATCCGTCGCCGTCGTCGGTGTAGGCGTTGAGAACGACGTCGCCGTACAACGATGCAACGTCGGCTACCAGCTCCATGGCGTGCGCAACCGCACGTGCCTCGTCAACGCCACCTGGTCGGCCGAGCCAGCGACGTGTGTGAACGTCGGCCTGCCGTGCGACCTTCCGGCCGACCCCGCCGGAGGTCGCGTTGTCGCTTACGAGGACGTCGTCGAGTATGTTTGCGACAGCGGCTACGTGTTGCTAGGGGAACGCTACAGACGCTGTCTGCACATGGCAGCACAGTGGACGGGAATGGCGTCCCTGTGCGAGAAACCCAGCTGCGGGGCGCCACCTGTCGACGCAAACGGGTTCTACAAGCTGTTTGGCGACGACCACTCGTGGCGACACGGCACGACCGTCATCTACATCTGTCATTTTGGCGGCGTGCCAAAGGGCATGCCGTTTAACCTGTGCGACAGTGGGCGGTGGGTGAACATGGCACCTACCTGCCCCGCATGCAGCAGCAGCATCAACAGCAGCACCGACTGCTGCCTGCTTGCTGAGCTGGAGCATGGCCACACGATATACGACGGTCTGCACCCGGGTGAACGCATCGCATATCGCTGCGACGACGGTTATACACTCGTCGGCAACGTCACTCTGCTATGCCTCCCTGATCGCAAGTGGAACGTCCGGCAGCCACGATGCGTGCCGCAATGTCCGCCCATCCCCGCGCTGGACAACGGTCATGTTGAGGGAGGCTTCGCCGTTGGAAGTCGCGCGGTGTTCACATGTCATCCTGGCTACAAGCTGCTCGGGGACGGCATCCTATTGTGTAAGGTGGACCGCACATGGAGTGCCGACTTTCCGCTCTGTCTCCTCGTCTCCTGTATGCGTCCTCAACCTCCCGAAAATGGAAGCGTTCGCGTGGAAGGAACCATCGCAGGCGGCCGCTCACATTACTCCTGTGACGACGGTTTCGTACTGAGAGGCGACAAGCTGACGACGTGTCACGACACGGGGGAGTGGGACAGCGTTGTGCCGTCATGCATACGCGCCGTCTGCCGACCGATGCAGCTTCTACAGAACGGACACGTCAACGTCACCGACAACACGCGTGTTGGCAGCAGAGCGGCGGTCGTCTGTAATCGTGGCTTCAGGCTTCACGGTAAGCGCTGGGTCACCTGTCAAGAGACCCTACAGTGGAGCGTGCATACGTCACAGTGCCTCCCTATGACGTGTACCGTACCGCAGGTTCCGCAGCATGGCAGGGAGTCGCACACAGGTGTCGGCGTTGGTGACACTATCTTCTTCGCTTGCGACAAAGGTTTCATGCGGCAGGGAGCGGCAACTGCATCGTGTCATGATGACGGGACATGGAGCAGTCGACCTCCAAGATGTGTTGAGGTGTTCTGTGTGAAGCCGAGCCTTGTACGGCACGCCAGCATACAGGGGGGAGGCAGAGAGCGCTATCAAGTCGGTAACTACGTGCAGTATGTCTGCGAGCCGGGGTTCCAACTGGTGGGGAGATCGCGGCTGATCTGCTATGCGGACGGGACGTGGAGCTATGACACGCCGACGTGCATGGCCGTTCACTGTGCAGAGCTGCCGGCAGTCGCCGATGGCTCGTATTACACTGACAGCGACGAGTACGAAAGCGTAGCGTCGCTTGTATGCAATCCTGGATATAAGGTCATCGACGATGACACGATCCAGTGTAACGAGGACGGCACATGGACGAATCCAAGTGGTCACTGCTCGGAGGTGAACTGCTATGCACCGCCGAGTGTGAGCAATGGCTTTCTCATCAACACGCTCACAAACTTCATGTACGGAAGCATGGCCGAGTATCGTTGCTATCTTGGCTACAACGTGGGACCGAGCACTGGCCTGAAATGCTCAGAGAATGGCACGTGGATAGGGGAGTTACCCGTGTGTCGGGAAATCTCTTGCCCTGCACCGACGTCAATCGAAAATGGTGAATACAGTCACGACGGTTTGCTTTATACTGACAGCATCACGTATGAGTGCCATGCTGGATACCGCCTTAGTGGAGCACCCGTGCACACGTGCCTACTGACCGGGGAATGGGATGCAGTGGCTCCTGTATGCATCAAGCACAACTGCAGCACGCTACGTCCACCGATTCATGGCCTTGTTGATGTTAATGGGAATGCAGTTGGTAGTGTTGCTAACTTCTCGTGTGAGCCAGGGTACCGCATCAGTGGCGTGTCAATGCTTACGTGCCAGAAGGATGAGAGCTGGGACAATGTGACACCAGAGTGTGTCGCAATCGAGTGCGCGATGCTATATCCACCAAACCACGGATATCTCCACATTGAGAATAACGTGGTGGGCAGTCTAGCTAACTACTCGTGTGAGAGAGGATACCTTCTGAAGGGAGAGGCGCAACTGCAGTGTGATTCGGTGGGCATGTGGTCGTCGGATCTGCCCGTGTGTGAGGAGATCACTTGTGTTACACCGCAACAGATACAAGGAGGCAACGTAGTGGCACTAAAACCGAGATACCGAGTCAATGATACCGTCACCTACGCGTGTGTTAGTGGTTACAGAATGCGCGGCAGTAGACAGCGCATCTGCACGGCTAACGGACGCTGGAGCGGTTCATTCCTGCCGCACTGCGAACTCATTGTCTGTCCCATCTTAGAGGCGATTGAGAATGGCATCTGGGTTTACGACAACAACACTGTCGACTCTCATGCACAGCTTGTCTGTGACGAGGGGTACAGGACTGATGATGCAGAGCCACTGACGTGTAGCGATGGCGGTAGTTGGACGGGAACTATTGGTTTGTGTAGAGTAGTAACCTGTGACAACCCTCCGATCATCAGTAACAGTCTCATGCTTACCGCGAAAGCACCTTTCACGTTTAACGCAACCGTCACGTATGAATGCATGCTGGGGTACACACCAAGCCGTGAATCTCTCCAGATCACATGCTCTGCTAACGGAACATGGGAAGCAGACGAAGAACCGCAATGTCTCCCCATCTCATGCGCCTACCCTGACGCAATATCACGAGGGTACATAACTGTCGACGGCAGTGGCACATACGGGGACAGTGTGACGTACTCGTGTGAAGCTGGTTACAGGTTAGTTGGGGATGCAACGCGGGTATGTAATATGTCGGGTGAGTGGAGCGCGCTGGAACCCAGGTGTGAGAAGGTGGTGTGCATCAGTGAGGAGATTGAGCATGGAGCAGCAATGTCACACGACCACGACGTCGTGCCGGCAATGTTGACATGGTACGAATGTGACATCGGTTATCGGCTGGTAGGTGCACGGGTGAGGCTGTGCGGTGACGATGGTACATTTAACACGACTCAGCCCATATGCGATAGAGTGTACTGCCCTGACCCAGCAGTGGCAGATCTTCTGCTCTCGTACCTTCCACCACACACATCCCCTGTGTATGGCTCAGTAGTCAGCTATACATGTCCCACTGGCTACGCGCTTAATGGCTCATCGACGCGGGAATGCTCTGGAGATGGCGATTGGAGTAGCGAAGAACCATCTTGTGAAAGGGTCACGTGTCCAGACCCGCCTGTGATTGAGAACGGTTGGCCCGTCTTGCCTGCAACCCCACAAGCTGCAGGCAGCGTCATAAGCTACGAATGTTCGCATGGCTTTGATCTGCTTGGATCTCGTACACTCGAGTGCTCAGAGGATGGGACGTGGGGCGACAAACTTCCAGTGTGTGGCAGGGCAAGATGTCAGGCTGACGTTCTCCCAAAGATTGAAAATGGCTTCATACAGGTCAGCGGGTCCGAGTTTGGATCAACGGCTACAATTGCCTGCAACTACGGCTATAAAGTAACTGGGAATCTAAAGTTAAGATGTCTGGCGAATAGTACATGGCAGGAGCTTGAACAAGGAGGACACTGCGGCCTTGTAACGTGCCCCAAACCACGTGCCATACAGAATGGGATAGTAAGCGCAGCAACCGCTCTCCAGCCTGGCACGACCATCTCCTACTCATGCATGGCAGGCTACCGTCTGTCGGGACAAAGAAACCGTACGTGTACTGGGAATGGCACATGGAATGGTGAGGAACCCTCATGCGAGCGCATCACTTGCATTCCTCCAGGTCGCACGCCAAATGGTATTACTGAAGGTGACTCGTTTCTGTTCGGGGATGAAGTTTCCTACACCTGCATCTATGGCTTCCACCTGCTAATTAACAGGATCACTGATAGCAAACGCTTGTCCGTGTATAGGAGAATCTGCAATCATGATGGATCATGGTCAAACGCAGTGCCAGAATGCGTACAGACGCTCTGCCCAGATTTGCCCGCAGTGTCGAATGGAGAACATTCTCGCTTCGCTCGCAATATTGTAAACACGACCGTTACGTATTCGTGCAATCTTGGCTACACGCTGGAAGGCCGAGGCAAGCTTGTGTGTCGGGAGAATGGAGTCTGGGATGCGAACCCGCCATCTTGTGAGAGGGTAACTTGTGGTAAGCCTGCACACGTGCCGTATGCTATTGTAACTGGCGATAAATTCGCATTTGGCGATAGTTTGACTTACGAATGCACACACGGCTACAGAACAGACGGGTCGTTCAGGATACAATGTTTACCAAGTGGAAAATGGACTACTCCAACGCCACGCTGTGTTGCCGTTACCTGCCAGCTACCGAACGTGGACGATGGAACACTGATATACGCCACTGAGCCGATCAGCATTGGTGATGGGGTGATGCTGACGTGCGAGCCTGGGTACGTGGCGGGAAATGAAACCGCATCAGCAACATGCGGGGCTGACGGAACACTGAGTTCTCTGCTAACATGCATCCCAGCAGTCTGTCCCGCGATACCCGTAGTTGATGGTGCTGTGAGGACGGGAGCATCGTCAAAAGTCGGAGCCATCGTGACGTATCGCTGTAGTGACGGGTTTGTACAGGATGGACCCACTGATGTTATCTGCCAGCCAAACATGACTTGGTCCGATGCACCCAGGTGCCTCCGTATTCAGTGTGACGAGCCACCTAGCGTCCAGCACGGGAACTTCCGCCCGCAGTCGTCGATGCATTTCTTTGACGACCTCGTCATCTACTCGTGTGGCGACGGTTACGAGCTTTACGGAGACAACGTTCTCATCTGCAGTGCCACGGGACGCTGGGAAGGTTGGCCTCCTGTCTGTCAGCCTGTTCTATGCGGGCGGCCTCCTATCATTGAGTATGCCAGCACTGTCGTCCAGCAGTTAACCTACGGCAGCCAAGCCGAGTACGTGTGCAACACTGGCTACATACTCAAGGGTCCTACCAAGGTGTTCTGCATGGCAGATGGAACGTGGACGCCACAAGGCAGTACGTGCACTGTCGTGTCGTGTGGCTCCCCGCCACTCCTACTCAATGGCAATGTCAAACACAACGCGACCACCTTCGGTAGCATCGTCACCTATAGCTGTCAACGTGGGTACGGTCTCACGGGTGAATCCTCGATGCAGTGCGGGCAGGATGGCCAGTGGAGCGGTTCCCTACCCGACTGTGTCCCCGTAGACTGCGGAGAGCCCATCGCTCCTAGGTTTGGCAAGCTGTGGATAGAGTCATCTGTGTATTTGAGCAGGGCTGTATACAGCTGCGACGAGGGATACCGTTTGCTTGGCAGGACTACCCGACATTGCCTGCACACCGGACGATGGAGTGGAGAAACCCCCAGATGTTCCCGTACGTGTGTGTCTACGCTATTTTACTGCATGACGACATGCATGCGTAAAATGAATGATTTTCTGTCGACGTTATCAAAATCAAGAGAGTAAATTGCTTTCCGTGACCATCATTATAGATACGTATTATTTTCTTACGTGAAAGTGGCGTGTTTTAAGTTACATAGAGGACCATATTGTTCGATTTTCATCAATGATACGCACTTATAATGCTAATAATCAGTTTATCGCCAACTTTATATCGTGATGGCGTCGAACAATAAGCTATAGTTTCATCCACATGGCGTATCACAGTACGTGGGTATACGCCATGCGGAGCAGGCCTCTATTTCACCTGTGTGTGTAACGTTATAAGACGCGATAAATCATTTTAGATGTTTCAGGAATGTTCTGCATCCCGCCGGACAAGTTCTTACACGGATACGTCATCAACCTGGGAACTTACTACGGCGACGAAATTAAGTTCGTTTGCGAGGATGGCTTTCAGTTGCTAGGCAACGCGTCAGCCGTGTGCCAGCGCGACGGTAGATGGAGCGGGGAACAGCCAGCATGTCAGCTAGGTAAATTATTCAGCCGGCCATTAATTCGGCAGAATAATGAATAATACTAATGTGATAATGGTAAAACAATAATGAACTTAAATCCTCTTTGCAGTAGTTCTCTCGTTGACTATTCCTAGCTAATCTTATTCAATCTGTCTTTCTGTTATAAATCGTATTTTCCTATCTATCACTATCAATTTAAAGTCATTCAAATATCGCAATTTGAATGACTTTAAAGATGGATGTCTATAGTGCATACTTTATTATATAATTATTTGATATTATTATTATTATTTTTGAATTGCACACAGGTGCAGAAAGTTTGTGCCTGGCTCCTCCGACTCCACCGCGCGCTCTTGGTGGAAATAGATCCGCCTTTCGCGAGGGTGAGACTGTCACGTTCGCTTGCCAGCCCGGTTACACACCACTACAGGATCTATCTGTCACCTGTCTACCGGACGGCAACTGGACGCGCCCTCATGGCCTCTGCACCCGTAACTACACCTGCTCTCTCAATAAGCTCACCTAATTGTTGCAAACGAGCACAATGGGATTTCTGTTTATATAATTGGCTCAATGATAATTAATAATAATGTGTAATATAACATAATATCATGATAATATCTCTCCTGTCTCCTTGTGGCGCCTTAGAACTCGGAGATATGTGGGCCGTGCTAGCATTGCTTTATGAAACTTGCGTAAAAGCCGCTAAAACCCCAAGTATTCAGAAAGGTCCGTAGTATTAAATAAATTGCCGGCCGAAGCACGATTGCTGGCGTCTGCTCTTTCTAAGCGGCTGCATAATCGGTGGTTCGTTCTCAGGTGAGACGTGCGGCCGTCCACCTGTCAATCATGGAGCCGTCATCGTCGGCACCTCCTATTACGTAGGCGACTACGTCACAGCGACTTGTCCACCCGGAAAGATGCCCTCTGGTGGCACGGTGCTGCGATGCACTGAGGCGCGGCTGTGGTCGGGCACGGCAATTTGCCAAGGTAAACTCGACTGGTCGACGCATGCTACTCCCACTGGATTGTTAATCCTGCTTGGGAAACTCGGTTTTTTCAGTAGCGTAAACGTTTCTCGTTGTTGGACGCACAGTAATTGAGGCATGCATTCTGTCCTTCCAAGCGTGTTCCACAAGAATATTAGTTCCACTCTGCTCACTAGAGCCTGCATGTCTTAACAATAGATTATATTTACATGTGAGGCCCGTAGCTAGCGTTAGAGGGCGGGGGTAATAGGGGACAGTACACCATATATATATATATTTGTGTCAGTGTGCGGCAGCGTGCATGCGGTGTACATGTGTGTTGCAGAGGAGCATTTGCACGGCATTTACAGGAAATTGTCGGCAATAATAGGCGAAAGAGAGTAGAGAAACATTAAGACTTTGGTAGTAAATAGATTTCGTATTTATTTAGCATTATATTTTATTGAAACTGTGGTAATGCAGGAAGATACAAAAACATGCCTCAGAAACAAACACAACGGTGCGGCAGAAAGGAAATACTTGGTCATTGAATTTTGGCGAGACAAACAGCGCAGGCAGTATATCTGATCCGCCGTCGTCTCGGCATGGCATGACATATATACGTGTCGTTGCAGCGTACTGTAAAGGAGGATGTCACAACGGTGGCGTGTGCACATCCTACAACCGCTGCGTGTGTGAGTCCGGGTGGACAGGCCCCACCTGCCGGCAGCCGGTCTGTGTGCTACCTTGTCTCCACGGCGGCCACTGCGTCTCGCCGTACAGCTGTAGATGCACAAGCAGCTACTCCGGACCGCGCTGTGAAACACGTAAGTCTCTCTGCTCCTGTAGACACCGCCTGCTATCTCTCGTGTATCGTAGATAGTCTATACTAGATGAACAGGAGAACGAGTGTCATAGGTGGCGAGGTAATGCTGGGGAACCCTGATCTTACACCGATTGTCCGCCTGGTGGCCGTTTCTTTACGCGACGCTTCTTTCTATCGTTTATTGACCCAACGTTACGACGCGTTAAAACCTCTGCGAATACAAACATAGAATCTATTATGTTACCTCGAGAAGCGGTCAGATTTGGATAGCTACATACATCAGCAATAGCATGGCAGTCTGTCAGGGAATATCGTGGGGACGTATCATGCCGCTGACTCGCGTGTGATGTGATGACGTGTACATTTTTGTGACCCGTAACGTATCGTTTCTTGCAGCCGTATGCGAACAGCCTTGTTTAAATGGGGGCGCCTGCATCGCTCCAAACACGTGCATCTGCCCTATCGGGTTTCTGCCACCTACCTGCTTACCCCGTGCCACGCCGATGTCGCTAACCAAGGATCTGATGAAGAAACAAAACCCGATGAGCATGATAATGAAGTAATACAAATTTATTATAATCAGAGTAATATGTCTGTCTCGTTCTGTTGTGTATCCTTGCAGACGGTGTATAGAGAAGCAGTCGACTCAGCGTGTATATTAGACTCCATAACCGTAGAGGTAATAGGAGATATAGAGTAGGCCTACATAAACATTATAAATTTGGTAGTGAATATAAAAGATTTGTATTTATTCATTAATAATGGAACTTATTATAAAATGCTTGTGACGAATCCGCGTGTGACTGCAACAAGGACGACGATGACGATAGCTATAAGGACGACGATGACGATAGCTATAAGGACGACGATGACGATAGCTATAAGTTAATGAAGATGGTGAGCGTGTTAATTCGCATGACTGATGGACAGTAGTGAGGTGAGAATGAATTTCCATGCTTAGGATGATAGCTTTGATAGCTGCAGATGCGAATCTGCTGTCAGACACGTTGGAGCAACGTGTAAGTGTATATTTGCGTATAAAATTATTGAGAAATGAACGTCGATCACAAGTTATCAAAAATAATTAGCATATTATAGGAAAGTGATAATAATAATGAATATCTTATTTATGTGCCAGTGTTCTTTTGCAAAATAAAACTAGAGAAGTCGCATCAAAGTCATCTAGAGATCGTCGCAAAAAAACTCGCAAATTGTACTGTTAGACGTAGTACCGGTACATTGTGGTACTCATTGTACGGTATATATTATACACAAATGTAGTATGTATGACCGCATAATGGCAAGATTATAGCTTAAGTGATCGAAATTTATTGACGTTTTATTTCGTATAGCAATCAAAAGCGCATTTTAATAGTATGAAATTGTCTCAGATTATACCGTACTGCCGCACTAGCAAATATTGATTTACAATATAATCGTATTAGTAAAACGTATATACCGGAATGTTGAGCGAAATTAGAGACAAATATATCCTACTGATTTTTATAGCAACATGCACAATGGCGGAAGCCTGAAATAATGTTTTTAAACATAAATGCGTATATAGGCCTAAATATAATATTTTACCTATCGGTTTATGTTCGAGCAAGGGTCAGTAACAGCAGCGGCTTAACAACAGCAGAAGACATGGCAACAGTGCGCGCAGACTATAAGGGTTCCTATTCTTGGATGTAGGTGGAGCGGAACTATAATCGTCATCTCCTCGATGCATCACAGCACACTGACAATCACTGCTACGACTGCATACGTGGTGACAGCC